TGGGATGTTCCATTCAGTAGTTATTGAGCTTATTCGTGTTCTGAAATGATCTGTGAGTTACCCTTCTATGTTACGAGGAGTTGTGAATCGTTGGTTATATGCACACATGGTGCGGTTCTATTGAGGATTTATAGCGGAAATTCGAGCCAGATGAGTATTTAGGTATTGCGTGATTGATTGCGCTTTGGCTATGCTTTTTACTGATGGTGGCATTGTGTTTTTGCTCTCCGTGGTTACCGTAATGCCTTTGGGTGCTTGATGTCGAATTTTGCGGGGTTATTGATTTCGAGCAAGGCAGCTCGAGGTATATAATATGGACCAGCGTTTGGATAGGGTCACACATTGTAGCGGAGTTGTATTGAGGTATCATCCATTGCGTGGGATTCGTATGTTTTGGGCAGTGTGTGATGAATTCTTAGCATTGCGTTATGGTGATACCCGTTGAGCTTGCAGGAAGGTTTTCTTTAGATGTCATTTTCCATGTTTGAGTACATTTGGACTGTTACTTATTGGTGCACGGATTGCACGGGTTGTGGCTTCAGATTGTATTGATGTGTCATGTCGCTAGAGTGGTCGTGTTGGATGAGATGAGGTCATTGGACTTAGAATTAATTCTATTAGAATTGATTACAACAAGGTTGGAAGGATAATATTGGAAGTCGGCTTAGAAATTTGCTAAAGTTCCTATCGCAGGAAAGGGAGTTCCACAACTTGTTGATCTGACAGATGGTTATGAGTTTTGGCGTGTTTCTTTCATCATTGGCAGTATATGAAGGTGTTAGAACGAGGCTATGTTTGATAAGAGGTTTATTACCGGTATTGGGTTGTTTTGAGCACTACTGTGATTAGAAATTATCGCTATGAGTGTTTGAATTATGTGGTATATCATGTGATTGCATCTGGGGTTATGACTATGGCTTGCCCAACTTGTTCATACTTATACAGTACGAAGATGCGAGATTCTGGTCTTATAGAAAATTTTGGATGTGGAAATTGGATTCTAAGGCTTATGGGCTAGGTTGGATTAAGAAATTTTAGTCATGTTGTGTTATCGGACTTATATGGAATAGGGTGACATAGGATCACCCCCGAGTATGTTCATGGTAAGGTTATACAGTGATTTGTTGGCTTTTGCAACAACTTTGGGCACGTTTGAGGACGAACGTATGTTTAAGTGGGGGAGGATGTAACGAGCCGACCGGTCGTTTTGAGCATTTGCACTTTGCTCGGATATTTGAGGGCATGAGTAGCTCCGTATGAAGTATATGACTTATGTGAATCGTCGGTTTTGATTTTCAGGTTAGTCGGAATCGATTTGGAAGGATGATTCTCAACTTGAAGCTTTAAATTTTAAAGATTTGACCAAGTTTTGACTTTTATTATTTGTCCTCGGATTGGATTTCTGATGGTTCCGTTAGCTCTGGTGGGTGATTTTGGACTTAGGAGCGCGTCCAGATTGTGATTTGGAGGTCCGTGGTAGAATTTGGCTTGAAACGACGAAAGTTGAAATTTTAGAAAGCTTAACAAGGAGTGGACTTTTTGATATCGGGGTTGGATTCCGATTTCGGAAGTAGGAATAGGTCTGTAATGTCAAATGTGACTTGTGTGCAAAATTTGAGGTCAATCGGACGTGATTTGATAGATTTCGGCATCAGTTGTGGAAGTTGAACTTTCAAAGTTCAATGATTTCGAATTGAGGTGTGATTCGTCGTTTCAATGTTGTTATGTGTTCTTTGAGGCCTCGAGTAGGTTTCTGTGATGTTATGTGACTTGTTGGTATGTTTGGACGGGGCACCGAGGAGCTCGGGCGTATTTCGGATCGATGTTGGATCATTTCATTTCATGTTGCATAGCTGAAGGTTTCGGGTTTTGGTATGACCGCACCTATGGCTGGTTTGCGCATGTGCAATGGTCGCAGGAGCGTTGGTTGAGTCACAAAAGCGAGAGTGGCTGGGTTAGAAAGACCGCAGGAGCGGATTTTGGAGCGCACCTGCGTGCGCGCAGATGCGGAATTTGAAGTCGCAGGTGCGTAAGGCTTCACAGAAGCGGGATTCGGCATCCGCAGGTGCGGGGGATTTCTGGCAATGTTATTTTCGCAGAAGCAGAGGTTATGTCGGAGAAGCGAAACTGCATATACGATTATATGTCTGCAAATGAGGAAGTGCTGGACGTATGTTAATTACAAGGGTTCGCGATTTTGGCTTCATTTTAATATTTCCAAGTGCGGATTGGGGCGATTTTGGAGCAATTTTCATCACAAGGATTGGGGTAAGTGTTCTACACTTGGTCTTGGTTATATTTCATGAATCTATCTTCGATTTTAGCTTTTGGTTGATGAATTGAAAGAGAAAATTGGGGGGTTTTGGCCTAAAGTTTCATAATATAATTTTTGAGTTTTCAAAGCCGATTTGGATTCGGATTTGAGTGAAACTAGTATGGTTGGACTCGTAATGGAATGAGTTGTCGAATTTTTGTGAGTTTTGTCGTGTTTCGAGGCATGGGCCCGGGTGTGATTTTTGGCCGGATTTGGGATTTGACTTCGGATTCGAGCTTTATCAATTGTAATTGCTTCCTTAGGCTTTGTCTGATGTATTTGAGTCACTTTTGGCTAGTGTTGAGCCGTTCGGAGGTCGTTACACGCGTGATGGCATTCTTGGAGCACCGCTTGGCTTGCTCGGTGTCGGGATCGGCTTGTTTAAGATAAGTAACTCTTCTAAACTTAGTGCTGAGGGTATGAAACCCCGAATTATGTGTTATGTGATTGGTGTTGAGGTGACGCACATGCTAGGTGACAGACGTGTGGGCGTGCACCTTGTGAGTTGTGACTTTGTTACTTTCAAGGCACTGTTTAGTGGCCCACTTTGTTGATATTTATGTTTTCCACCATGCGATAAAATAATTGAGCGGTACATCATGCTAAATATCATATTTAGACTTTATGCTAATATTGTTGGGACCCATAGTGGTCGTTTCTTGCTGTCATCTCATTGATTTTATTGATATTTCGTACTCGGCCTTATTCATGCATTCATATCATAACTTAGTCTCAGTTGTTGCTTATTGATACATCATATCATTGTACTGGATCAGTTTTCATGACATTGTAAGTCCGTGGGTGAGACCGGAAAGTGATGACTGAGTGAGGCCGATAGTCTGATTATGAGTGATAATTATGGGATCGGGCTGCAGGCCGCAGTGGTTATATTGATGATTATGATAGCGCTTGGGCTGTAGGAGCCCCCCCAGATTCTGTAACATACCCCCAGTGAGCGTTGATGATATTATTGAGGGATGGATTTCCCTGGACATGGATTTGTTCGAAGTATTGACATATGGAGATGGATTTCTCAACAGGGATGGATTCCCTTTTTCCTCGGCACCGAGTAACGTCTAGTCATTGTTGAGTATGTTCCGGGATGGATTTCCCTGGGCCGCATGGGCCATATACGGTACCGGGTGGTTGAGCACTTATACATTATTGAGGGATGGATTTCCCTGGGCATGAATTTGTCCGAAGTACTTGATACCTGGAGATGGATTTCTCCACAGGGTTGGATTACCCTTTATCCTCGGTACTGGGCGACTTATAGTCAGTGTTGTATATGTTCCGGGATGGATTTCCCTGGGCCGTATGGGCCATATACCGTACCGAGTGGTTGAGTGGGATGTAGTGAGGTTGAGTACTCTGAGAGTGTGAGTACATGATTCATCTCTGAGGTACATGGCATTGGCATGCATATATGACATACATGCATAGAGACGTATTTTTCCTCATGCTGTACGGTATCACGTCATTCATGACTTTTTTACATACATTGATATGTGGTTATAAAGAGGTATTTCACACTTGTTATTTGAAAAAGGAAATGAATCATGTTTACCTATTGTGGAAAGGAATTTTCAGGAAAAAGTTACCGTTTTCAAAACTTACTCATATTTTTAACGATTTCGGTAGAGGATTTGGGGTTTCATTGGTATACTTGAAAAGCGGAACTATTTTCGCAAAACTGTTAAAAGGCTGAGCGCGTTATTTCTGAGCTATTTCTGTACTTATTTACTATACACTTTATGAACTACTGTTGGTTATTTGTGTTGGACCCGACCTATGTACCAGCTCGTCACTGGTTTCAATCTAAGGTTATGTTTGTTACTTTTTGAGTACATGGGGGTCGGTTTTACTCATACTGCACTTCCTACACATTGCGTGCAGATCCCGGATGCTGATGTTGCTGCAATCGATGATTGAAGGATTTGAAGGCGTACTTGTTTTCCTGCTCTGTGCTGCCTCTTGTTCACGGTAGCCTTAGATTATAAAATTCTGTTCATGTACTTTCAAACAAAAGATGTATTTTATTCATACCTGCTTTGTAAACTCTATTCATAGAAGCTCATGATTTGTACTACTAGTCCTTAGAAAATGTATAAGATTTAGATAATTCTGTTGTTTAAATATTTTATTAAGTTAAATAGAATTGGATAATTGTTAATTGGCTTACCTAGCGGGTTGAGTTAGCTGCCATCACGATTGGTGAATTTTGGGTCGTGATAATTTATTTTTATTTATATAGACCAATGAATAAAAGAAATAGAAGCATATATGGAGAAAGAAAACAACTATATTTTTTTTTGGACAACAAATATAATACTATGACAATTAATTTTGGACTAAGCAGCTTAATTCTACTTTCTTTTTTCCCTTTTCCCTAATGTTTTCAAGAACAAACTCCGTGCGAGAATAAGATAATGCACGTAGAGTTTATTATTTAATTTGTATACTGACCTATAATAACAAGTAACTCTCAATCTTGATTTATGGTAACATGAAAAATGTATATGGAAAATATATATAATATAACCCATTAAATTAAATTAATAGTGCAAGAATACTATGCAATATCAAATATAACAAAATTAGTTTTTTACCTTTTGGGTGCTTATATAAATGGCAAGAATAAAGGTATTTTCAACTTTGCCTATATTTTAGTTTTTTTAACTTTTCGGGTGCTCATATAAATGGCAAGAAGAAAGGTCTGTTCAACTTAACTATTTGAGAATTGTTTCATTTTCCTTCTAAAAACAGAACCTCTCACTTCTCTTTAAAGCACACACAGCACAAACTACAACTCCAATACAATTTTTTTTTGAGACTTATGAGCCATGGAAAATATAGGAGCTCCTCCAATACTTTCTTCAACAAGATCATTCATAGCCCCTCTTCTTATTTCAATGTTAGGCATAGTTTGCACTGCCTTAGCTTTAGTGATTTACCACTTCATTTTGTTAAGATTTTGCATAAGGAGAAGTAGATCACATATTAGAAACAATATTGGACAGCCATTCAATGAACCCCATTTAACCATTGGCATAGAGCAGAAGATTATTGAATCAATTCCTCTCGTTGTTTATTCGATTCATAAACAAGATTTATGTCGTGTAGATCAGAATGAGTGTGCCGTATGCTTAGGTGAATTGGAAGAAGGTGAGATAGTTCGATTTTTGCCTAATTGTAAGCATTATTTTCATGTCACATGCATAGACAAGTGGCTTATTGGCCACGTTAATTGCCCGATTTGTCGATCTTCTATAATAGAGACAATAAACTACGAGGAGAAAGATAAGCCAGATGTGACAATCGTTCCACTACCATCTAATTCTCCGCCATGTGTCAGTAATGAAAGTAACACGATTGATGTTCAAGTTCAAGATCAAGATCACGAAAATCAAGTCGACCTCGAGTATCGTATTGCTTCATCGTCTGATCAGGTAAAATTACCATCACAATCTTGTAGGTTGCATTGCCATAGTGCATCATTGGAATTGCCTACGGAGAGAATTAGATCAACAGAAAGAAAATTAGTGATGGGGTTGAAGAGATCATTATCTATGGATCAAACATTTATTATTATTGATAGAGAGAAATTAGAAGACGAAATCAAGTCATTTTCAACATCTTCTTGTTGCTCTTCATCAACGGATTAATTGATCAGAAGCAATCAACAAGGAACTTTTTAATGAGGAAAGGAAGTCAAATTATTCCCTAATGATTTATTTATTTTTCTGAATTTTTTTATACGTAGTATTTAATTAGCTTCCTCTAGCTGGATATATGTTCACTAAATTGTGGCATATAACTTAATCACGAAAAAGTGGATCTAAATATCCTTCGCCAAGAAGGTTCTTTTTATTTGGTGCATTCAAGGATGTAATTTAATGGTCATCGAACGAAGTGCTCGCCATCGGGCCTGATAAAATGATGCACCCTGGACTCGGGATGAGTTTTAAGACCTCGGAAAGTACAATGAACGGTTATACACAACGGATAGATGGCTGTGTATTCACAACCAACCGGATATCACAGCGTGGATCTCGCTTGATGTCGGTTACAGAGCAGTAATTAATGAGAAAGGAAGATTTTACCTTTTTTAGATTTGTACTAGGGATGATACTCTCCTAGTATATAAGGGGGAAGCTTTACTTTGATAAGACAGATTGTAACACGCAAATCAAGGCATTAAAAATTTATTTTATGCTTTCTAGCTAATGAAATATTTCTTACTTATTTGTTTGTTCCTTATTCGCAATTGGGTTTGAACCAAGGGTCCAATCGAGGGCAAAACTACTGTTCAATCTGGGCTCGGACTAGGCTATAACATTACGATTGGTTTGATCATTCATTTTGTCTTTAAATCAATTCACATATCCTTATAAATTTCATTGTTATCCAATTTTAGGGTAAATAGTTTGGCGTCCACTGTAGGGCCAAGGATAATAATGGCGATTTGATACAAATATCCATAATACACTATGCTTTACGCTTGTTCTTTAAAGTCTTAATTTCAGGTCAACTTAAAAATGTCGAATTCTCAATCTGCCCATTTGATTGTCGACGCAGAGTCTTGCCATCATGGCGAAAATAACAATTTGTGCGTAGCAACAAGTTGCCTCTTGCTAATCCCAACGGTGTCCTAGTTATGGATCCGGTCGATTCTAGCTCACAGGTTTCCATCAACGTCAATCTGTTAAAGTCAATCCCCAAATTCTCTCAAGGTTCTTCGGAACCCTAGCCTCCCCCTACCTTGTTCCACCGTGTTTTCACAGGAGTCCATGGCTTCTCAGGCCATGGACAACCTATACTCACCTCCTACGGCTCCTACATGCCTATTGCTCGAAGGTTCGAGGCCAGACCTCGAGGGTCTTCACTCAGACCTTCACCGATTTGAGGATTTCGGCCATCTCCGGCCTTGCTCCGGTGGCTCTTGGTCTTCTGAGCCTGATTCTGACCTCATCCGACTTAGATCGGACATTTTCGAAGCCTTTCTCATTCTAGGGTTTATATGAAACCCTAACTATCGAGGTTCTCTCCGATTATTTTTAGATCTGTTATATGTTTGCAATATTGCTTAAGTTTCTTAAATGTTTTCTCCGATTTTCTTTCAAAAAGTTACTTCTTTTTCGATTAGGGTTTCTGGAAAAGGTTCTTGAAAATGTTTCTGACCCTTCTTCTTCTTCTTTTCTTGGTGTGAATCGATCCCTGCTATGTTCTTATTTGCTCTTTTCTGACTTGCATGCTTTTTCGTGTGTTCTTATATTTGCTGTATTATGAAGTTTTTCTATTGTGCTCCGTTCTGTCTCCTACTGGTTTCAATATCATGCTCTCACATGCCTATCTTATGTGTTCCTTTACTGTGTTTTCCTACTGAGTTTTAGTCCTTTGTTTGCCTTTACCAGACTTTGTTCTATTTGCCTTGAACCTGCTATTGTGCTTGTATGTTTTCTCATGAGACTCTGAAAGAGGTCTCTGAGTCTGTTTCAATAGCTTGCCTTCTCATCTCTGTGTCGAATTCGAGTTTAAAAACCCTAAGATTTGGGGGTTTCTTTGGAAAGTTTGATTTTGTGTTTGGACAGGGGTTCTACTTTGAAACCTTGAACTCTCAGACTCACTCCGAGTTTATGAACTGAATTTGAACTTTTTTTTTTGTTTGTGATTTTGAAACTTTCTTTCTAGTATTTCGTAATTAGCATGACATCCTTCTTGCTTGACATGTCTATGTGTTTTATATATGAGAGCTTCTCTTTCAAAGGTTTTGCCAACTGCTAATTGATTCTGAATCCCTTTAATGTTGCTTACTTGATTGTTACTGATTTTCCCCTAAATTAAACTTTCCTTTACCACTTTTCTGACTCGGTTCAATCGAACAAGGCTTTCAACTTGGTTCTTTTACTGGCTGTTTTACTGATTCCCTTTCCTTGTTTTTCACAAATCAAGTACCACTAGACTTTTACCTTAAATAGTTTTTATGTATTTACCCTTTATTGTACTGCTTGGGAAAATATTCTGATTGACCCTTTCCTTAATTATCTTTACCCGTTGGAAATCAGAATCCCTTAATTGAAGGGAAATTAATTTTCAAGGTTATTTTCCTTACCTTTTCTTACTTACTTGTTGCACTATAAAAAGGGCCTTCCCTTCTATACTTTCAACAATCCTCATTCACTGATTTTCGAATCACAAACTCTCTTGCACTCTTTACTCTCTTCTGAGATCTTTTGCATTGCTTGCTCGCAATTTGGCTTACCAAAGCTTCTGCTTTTCATTTATTTTTCTGAAACTGGTATGTCCTACTTTTGATTCTAGCATCAACTCCAATGTGTTTATTTACAAGCTTTTATGCCCATGCCTACTTTACTGCTTTGTAGAGTTCAACTTTAAAGTAATACTTATGTCTTGCTATCTGTTGCTGCAATGAATCCCTATCCCCATCCCCCTTTTATGTGCTTGGGCTGTAGTTTAAGACATGGCAATATACAAAGTTATTGTCATGGATTAAAACTGGGTCCTTTGGATCCTAGCCTCTTTCAATTTCCCATACCCCATTCCTTTATGTGTATTCAGTTAAGGTATAGCCTGGCAGCATCCAAGTTGCTGTCCAGGGCTGAACCTGACCTTCAAAAGGTCCTAACTCTTTAATTTTAAGACTGACCGGCTGGTCAG